CAGCACAGGGGGGGCCCAACGAAGCCTCTGCTGATAAAGGATTTCACGGATGCTGAGCCCAAGGACCTGTCCGTGCCCAGGGACCAGGGACCCTCACCCAAGAGAGAGGGGTGAAACCACAAAACGAGCCCTCCCAGGGGAGCGCCAAGCGGTCCCAAGTGGTGCAGAGACCCCCCCCCATCTCATGACATGCATGAGAGGGACATCTCATGTGCCAGTGGGGAAGGGCTGCCAGGCAGCGCGCCCGGCTTTGGGCACAACGCTCGGGACTCCCCTCCGAAAAGCTGCCCTGGCATCGCATGGTGGGCAGACGTTGGCGAACACGGATCCCACATCTCTCCTACTCCTTCAAGCACTGCATCCCCCGTTGCGCCCTCCTCCTCCTCCTCATTTCCCTCTCCCTTCCCTTTTTATCCCTAAACGCCAAAAACCAGGACGCGCTCAACGGAGCCCCGACCAGGCTGGATGCAATGACGGCTATTAAATAAAGTCCAACGCAAACAAAATGATTAAGCCCGTAAATAATGATCAAGAGGCGGGAACATCTAAGCCAGCTGAAAGCCCACCCGGCACTGGGCAGCAATGGGCTGTCCTTCTGCCTGGGACCGAGGAGGAGGGATCATGCAGGATCCGGCCAACACACAACCTTTGGCTCAAGGTCCCCGAAACGGGACTCACCACCAGCTCGGTGGTCCCGAGCAAAGCCCGGCCCCCCTCGCCTCCCCCTCGCGCGCCAGAGTCCTGTGGGCCAGCCACGCACCAGACATGAGGTGATGCAAAGCAGCAGGACACCGCAGCGTGTCCTAGTTGGAAGTTGGGAGCCGCATCTTCTCCAGGAAACTGCTCCACATCGTGGGCAAGCCTGCCTGCTTCCTCTTCTTGCGTGGGTGTTGAACAGCATAAAGATAGGACATGTACTGGAGCTCTGGCATAACCATTTTCTGGCAGGTTCTCAGAGTCCTGTTGTCTAAGTCTCGTCTGAGGTTGTACCCAAGGATATCTGCATCCCCTGACTGGAAAGGCAGGAGAGCTTTGTTCTTGATGTGACTCTTCCTCACTGCCTCCTGGTCCAACAGACAGGTCTCCATGAGCTCCTTCTGTCTCGTTCGCAGGAGATTCACCTCCTTCTCCAGCTCCTCAAGTCCTATCGTCTCCTCAATTTTCCTCCAGAAGCTCTGGTTGAAGTGCAGGTAGAGTTTCCAGTCCAGCGAGCACCATGTTTTTATCCGCTCCTTGCTTTCCAGAGTCAAGGTCTGGACAGTGTCTTGGCTTCTGGAATTGAGCTTAAAGTAAATCACGTCATCCAGATCCCAGCACAACATGTGCTTCAAGAGGATCATGGACTCATCAAAGTACTCTGCTATCAAGATCAGGTGGAAGTTCTGCTCAATCTCCTTCAAGACTGACTGGATGTACTTTGTGTTGTCCTCTGCATTGTTATCGTAGCCGAAGTCAAACCACATGATGTTCCTGGCATAGATGTTGTCCCTGTAACTCCCTGGACGGTAATACTTCATGGGTGACGCCAGGTACTCGTTCACGTTCTTGGAGATCCTGAAGGCAGGGGCATAATTCTTGTAGTAGACGTAGGAAGACTCCAGCAGAGGAATGGGGTTCCTCAGGATGGAGAAGTAGAAGGTGTTTGCTGCCATCACCTTTCGCACCTGTTTGCGGGGAGGAAGAAGAGGGGCTGTTAGTCTGGAGGCACCGCTTGTTCAACCAGCTGTTCAATCAGCTGTTGTGGCTCCTTCTTACCTCCGAGGGGTTAAACCGCAGGTGGTTGCACATGATGTTGTAGTTTTGTCCTATGGCTCTAAAATCCTCCACAAAGTTGGCCAGGAAGGCATGTGGGTAGCCCAGGTGGACGTTCTGGCCAGCTGGAAGGGCAACGGTGAGGCTGTGCTTCTCCACAAATCTGAACATGATGTTCAGGATGGTGCTGCTGGCCGTCTTGTGGGTCTTGAGGAACATGACGTTAGTCTTGGGGTGGCAAGGCATAGAAGGTTCCAGCAGCTCCTCGTGGTTCTTCTTCAAGACTCTGCAGGAAGCCAACAGATGAGGAAAACAGCCTCTCCAGTGCCATACCCCATCTCCGAGACCTGGCAAAGCCAAACCCCACCAAGTTCTTCTGACACCACCCCCGCAGTGGTGCAAGGCACCAACCCAATCTCCATCCCTCAGGCGTAGATGTTGGACAGTTTTCTGCTCCTCCAGGTCCTCCCTTACCCAAAGGCTTCAGCTCGATCCCCTTTTCTTTTTCCATATGGCTGATGTTGCCCCAAAGAGCTGCACTTTGGCTATTTCGATCCCTTGCCTGCCCAAATTTGGATCTACGACCTAACTTTGGGCTGCTGCCCTTCCAAAATTAGCCTGAACGCCAGGAGAGTTAAACCAAGTGTCACAGGTCAGATCCTTGCTGCCCTGGGCAGACCAGGTCATGCAACCTTAATTCTGCTTCACTTACACGAATTGTTTACTCTCCCTATGGAAGAATCCCGAGAGGAAGATGAGTCCCAAGCAAAGGCTGAAAACGAGGAAACATTTCACCCGCCTGGAAAGAAAGAAGAGTTTTTCAGTAGATTTTTCTCCGCTAGTCCTTCCCCGAACGCGAGCCACCAAACTTTGCGTGTTGCCTGGGAGCACAATTTTAAGTCTCCGTGGTGGCGGCCACCTTTGGCTCCCCCAGCTGTGTCAGCAGCTCTGGCAGGACAGTGAGGAATTGCACTTTCACTACCACTGTCCTAATTTTGGCCTTTGGCAAGACACAGCCTGTCTCAGGCAGAGCCCGAGCTCTTTTCAGCCTCCCGCCCCGCTCTGCTGCCTTTTATTTTGCTTTTCTTTTCGTTTTCTAGGGCTTTAGAGCTTATTCATTACTCCAACTTCTAGTTTATTCAGTAGAAAACGAGCCCTTTGTAGGGGCGTAAGGATTTCCTCGGTGAGGAACCCGCGCAGCTCCTGCCATCCCATCACTCCAGAAGCTGGCCATCTCCAAGGAACACTAAAGTGAATTTTTTTCAGTGTAACTGAGATTTTTCAATAATTGCGCCCTGCTTTTACGCAAGAGGACTGCTTCCCCACCGCGCCAGCTCCTCCTCCCAGCCCAGCTCCTGTGCTCAGCCTCACCCAGGCCTCCCTTTCATCAGATCTTCTCACCTTGGCCAGAGTTCAGAGGCAGCCCTTTGGACCAAGTACGTTATTTCCCCGTGCTCTGCCTGGATAATGATGAGGGGTGAGCCTTTTCCAGCACTAATTAGGCAACCACCATTAAGCATCACCAGTGTGTTCTAGCTGGGACACATACAGGATCTTATGAAGGTTTGATGCCCACCAAAAAGGAACTCTTCATCACCAAGTCTGATCTGACTTCTCCGATCCTAAAAGCTTTTTTCAGCTCAGTGTGAATTCCGTGTTTTCAGCCGCCATTTCCAAAATGCAGCAGATCTGGCTTGGACTTTATGTTGTTTTGAGAAGATATAGTCCCATTTGCAGCATGGGATGGTCCCACTGGTGGTTCCCACTCTCCTAAGTGAGCAAGGAAGGCTCCAAGCCTGCCCAGCCTGAGGGTCAACGGGGGCACATGGCTTGCTGCAGGCTGGACCTGGTGGTCCTTTCTACTGTCCTTCTGGCCAAGGGGTCCTCACACACAGTCCTGCTGCACAGGGTGGTGGTGGTGTTCATAACCTCCAGCTTATACCATGTGAAAGACACCGAGTTGCTCCTTCCAGTTGGCCTTACGAGAGTGCAACCAGCAGCTTTATCTGGCATGGTCTACAGCCTCCCACCGACTGACCACGGTATGATGAGCTGGGCTGTGACTGACTGGATCCGTCCATGGAAAACTGTGGAGAGAGGATGGGAGCAAAGTCCAGCAGAACACGAAGAGCCACACATAAAAAAACCATAGCCACCATGATGGGGGAGCCACGAACCGACTGTGAACACGGCGGAAGCGTGGAGGCAGGCGGCCATGTCGCAACGCTGCGATGGCACTGCAGAAAAGCCTTTGGCTTCGAACCTGCCCAAACCACCTTCGCTCCGAGCAAAGTGCTCTCCTTGTCCAACGGCACCCCAGCCGAAGCGGGAAATCCTCAGAGCCCTTCCCAAAGCCAGGGAAGGTCCTCAGCCACGGCTACCACCGCCCTCCGACATGAGTTTGCAGCGCAGCTTCTGCACGAAGAGTTCCAAGACACCGCTCCAGGCTATCTTTTATACAAACAGTCACAGCCACGAGCAGCGG